AATTGGTGGTTGTAAACCCAATTTGAGAAAGGAACGGAGAACTTTGGTGGCGGTGGTGGTGGTGGTGGACAAGTTGAGGGAAAAAAGAAAAAGAGAGAAGGAAATGAGGTGGGGGTGGGGGTGGCGGTGGCGGCGACGGTGGTGGTGGTGACGGTGACGATGGCAGCAGCGGAGGAGGCGGCAGCACCAGTGGTGGTGGAAAAAAGAAAAAAAGGAGAAGGAAATGAGGTGGTGGTGGTGGTGGTAGTGGTTGTGGCGGCAACGGTGGTGGTGTGAAAAAGAAAAGGAGAGAGAAGGAAATGAGATGGCGGCTTAGGGTTTGAAAAGCATGATTTTTTTAATCGTTAATGAATTGTGATTGATGTTCTTGTTCTTTTGTTTGGCCTCTGGGTTTGAATTGATGGTTGTAAGAGAAAGTCAACAATTTTATTATATAAAAAATTGGAAAACTGAATTACAGATGCATAAGCTCGCCGGAGAAACTCCCTTTAAGAACCCACGCTGCCGGAAGTACCAAAAACTCAATGTTTCGTGGGATTTTTACAACAATTCTGACCAAAATCTGGATGCCTTATGCAATCCCTGATTAGATCTGGAGAAAAATACAAAAGGGGTTTTAGAGTTCTTTTAGGGTTTTTGCTAGAGAGTTAGAGAGAGAAACTCGGAATCCATCCAAACCGCCGTTTGAAGTCAAGATTTCGTCCCAACGAAGGAATTGGCTTTGGGAAAACCATTCTAGACGTTCGATTATGGTCATAAGTATGATGTGTACATGCCGGTATCTATACTTGTCTCTACATAAATATTTCTAAATAAACAAATGAAAACCTAAGTTGAAAATAACCTATCATGGTCATTGAATTTGGTGTGGAGTAATTGCTCCAAAAATATATTGGTGTTGTATTTTTGATCCAACTATGACACTGTTCTTCAATTCAAACTTGTTATCTCTTGCTACGTCGGTGGGATCGCTTTCTCCCGCCACACACCCACAGTAGGGCGCTCAAATTTGGGACGCTGTTTACCAGGTTTTTCCTCTTACCTCCATTATTTCCATCTCTCCCGCTTCCTTATACTAACCAGGTTTTTTCTCTTGCCGGAGAAACTCCTTTTATCCTGCAAGTTTTTGTTTCTAAACAAATCCCCGACAGCTCAAGTTGAATAAAAGTACACACTCATCGTAGATTTATAATCAATGAATATTATCTCTATTGCTTTAAAAGTACGAGGCCTTTTAAAATCTCAAAACTTATATTTAAGGTGGATAATATCATATTATTGTGAGAGTCCGTTCAATACTACTAAAAGAATTTTAAAAAAAAAAAAAAATTTAATTTATTTTTATTTTTTTATTACTAAAAAGAGTTTAAGACGATGGAAGAGATTTTTGTTACTGCATGCAACGAGATAAAAATTTAGACAAAAACTCGTTATTTGGTGGAATTTTTAGGAAAGTTGTGAGAAAATGGTGAGGGATTATACAATTCCAGACTACAAATCTAATGATGGACAGAGAAATAACGAAAAGGAAGAGAGAGAAAAAAAGTGGGGGTGGTGGTGGTGGTCACGACTACGACGGTACTTGTTTTGCAATTCATTCAGCAATTTGGATCCATTTGCTCACTTTGAATGTTGGAAGAAGTGACTGGGAAGGTGACAACTGCTCCGAACAATGACATTTTTCCAAGTGTTCATGGGAAGGAGACAAACTGTTTTGTGGACATCGTGCATTTGAATTTGCTCTTCTTGTAATCTTGGCCTCATTGACATCATTCGTCTTTTGTCTTGGATTCTTGAACTTCGAGTTGAGTTGACTTGAAAAAATGCGAGATAGAGATAGGAATAGTAATAGCTAACACAACCTCTCCTCCCTTCTTTCTTTAATCTAATTAGTCAAAACCAACTTTCAACTGCTTATTATCAATCTAAGGTGACTATGATAGCAATCTTCAAAATAACCAATGTACAACTACTATTAATTAGTTATCATCATCCAAAAGTGACTATCATCATAACCATGAAATAATCGTGAACGGTGACAAAACCGCAATTCTTCCCGCAATTTAGGTCAATTTGCTAACCTTCGGATTAAATTTTGTTTTAATTTTAAGAATATGATCTATGATAAGTAATTGAATATGATTTATACATACACTTAAGTTATTTTGAGACAAAAACGGTTTATAGATTATATATATATATTTGAGTAATTTTAAAATATATTCTTTCATTTTATAAATTCTTAAATGAATTTTTTTTGGAACACAAAATTTCTATATTTGTGTGGATTGAAATTATTTTACTTTTCATATATAATTTGTTTTCATCGAGCTTGGTAGAGTTTTATCTAAAGTTGTTCAAAATATTTGATATGTTCAAGTGTTTATTATAGTTTATGGATAGCACACTCAAAGCATTCTTGATCGGGCTTGGTAGAGAGTATATGAATTTTAATGTAGAGTTTTATCTAAAGTTGTTCAAAACATTTGATCTGCTCTAGTGTTTATTATAGTTTATGGATAGCACACTCAAAGCACGTTGGGTTCTAGAGAGGGGTAAATTGTGAGGTCTCCCATCGAGAAGGAGTACGAAGTGGGGATCAAAATACTGTTTATGGTGAAAATATGAGTGCGGATATGGTGTTTTTTTGTTTTCCCTCCTTGCTTCCCCTCGTGAGTGTCTCTATCAAACATACATAAAAGTCAAGTCTATCACTTTCTTCCCCTTGCTTCCCCCTTGTATACCAATTATTTTCCCCTTTCTCTTTGTTCTTCAATTTCTTTCTCCCTCCCTCAACATGGTGAGTGCTCACAATATGGTTGCAATCCTCGGTAATCTCATCACCTTCGCCCTCTTCTTCTCTCCACTGCAAGCTATCTCTTGTTCCTTCTTTGTTTCTTACCCTTAACCATACACAATAATATTATTGTTTACTTGGTGTCTCTTTGTGTAATTCGGTTTATTCGGTTTATTGGTGTTCGGCTTTCGGCCAACAACCAGAAAAAGAACAATTAGAAAAAGTGGAAAGAAAAGTAGAAAGGAACCTCACTTTTCAATTTAAATTCATAACATTTAATGGTGGTTCTAAAAACCTCTCTCCTACACTTAAATGTTTTTGTTTGTTTTTCATGTTTTTGTTTGAAAATGTTGTTTCTTCTAAAGCCAAACAAATGTTGTTGTCCATAAAAAATAAGAAATAAAAAATACATAATACATAATTATGATGGGTGAGTTTACTTTTATTAACTGAAATTATTAAACATATTTTTAGTAACTAGAATTTAATTTAATTTGATTGAACAACAAAAATTTAACCCAAGGTTAATAGATGGATTTGGAGTTAAAAGTGAGCTTAAACTGAACTATCAATTGTTTTTATGCGAGCCATGTGCTGTTGTGAAAGGAGAAGGAGGCAGCTAAGTACGCGTCTATAATGGTGTGACATCAAAATAGGAGGAGAAATAGGGTTTTGAAAATGGGAAATCTGCCAAACAAAAATTTATGGCTTCAACAAATTGTTCATCAATCTTTCACTTTGGATTGGGCCATATGGGCTTTATCTTCTTCTGGGCTTGCTCCAACCATCTTTCCTCCTTTCTTCTGCCCTTCTTTCCCGCCCCACCCCACGTGCCACCGAGATTTTCATGGCTTCTTACCGTTTTTGCCGTCGAAAGATTCGCTGTTCTCGTTGGAGTTGTCGCAGAACTTTAGACATGCAAACCACTCCTCCTCGGTAAGAAGAAGACAATCCTGCTTGTTGGAGGTGGATGAGGTTGATGAGGTTGTAAGCTTGTTGGAGGCAATTGACACATCAAAGGGTGGGGGTATGATCCCTTTGGAGCAGACGCAAGGGTGTGTTTGCTTCCGCAGGTACCGGGGGCCTTGAAAAGGAAGTGGAACTTGAGAGTGAAGGGTTATAGGCTCATAGTGTGTTAGCAAAAGGAAAACTCACAATTTCATTCATAGTGTGTTAGCATCTTGAAATTTGAATACATTAAATCAGTACAAAAAGACAAATGCGCCGAGTGTGGAAGGAATGTCAGATGCCCTGACTGAGCCCAACATCACTGAGCCCAAGATTAATAGAAGAATAAATTCAAGGTATACACCAGCACGAGGCCCAACACAAATGCACTATTATGACCCTCACACCTGCTTCAATCTAGATGTTGTTGTTACCATTTCCCTTCTGTTTTCCGAGTTCCTTGCAAACATGGTGAGCGCCACCGTTGGTCGGAATATCCTCATGTAATGCTTTCAAAATCACTCTCCATCTCCAATAAAATCTTAGAACCTTTAAAGAAGTGCGGGTATGTACCTATTGGATTTGGGTGTTACAATTATTTTGCGCTTACCATCGTAGTAACCTTTCAGTGATCGATTACTAATTGATGGAAATTACACGTTAGTTATTTCACGATTACCATCATAGTCACCTTTAGGTAATAATAAGTGTGGTTGACCGTTTGTTATTCACAATCACCACCGTATAAATCATTAGGTGATGGATAATAATTGACGTGAATTATAAATGTGTGGTCCACAATTATTTATATGGTGAATGTCAGTTATTTCTATGGCCAATGTCGGTTGAAAACCTTCAAGAAACCTATGTGAATCTTCTTTTACTTACCTACTTCAAAAATTTGATCTATCAAAATTCTAGATCCAGATAAAATCGAAACAAAAAGTTCTTGTTCATTGTCGAAACTCGGAAGTTTCTTGCCTTGGATTCCATCTCCAAGTGGGTTTTTTTTTTTTTTTTTTTTTTTTTTTTTTTTTTTTTTTTTT